CGTCTGCTTGAGATGAACCTTATTCATGCTCCACAGGTAACTTTCCTTTCTCCCCAGGCTGGTATTTTTACGTTCCAAGAGGGAAGCAGCTAGTCTTGAGAGGCTGTTTTTCCAAGTACAGACAAAACAGCTGCAAATTCTCACTTAAAAACAGTGGATCACGTATGCAAGCTGGCAGGTGGAAATGCCAGCTATATAATCTGTTTAAAAACTTGACATTATGGTGTATGTCTTCTTACAGGGACACGCCAAAGCTCCTTAAACAAATAAACATACTTCAGGTTCCATGGCACTAGAATATGAACACTATTTTCCCCCTGAAAATACCAGAAGCTTTTGGGTTGCTCATTGGAATAGTGGCAGTACATACTACTGAAAGCTCTTTCATACAGAGAGCATTCTCTCTCCCCTGTCGTACGGTCAATCAGCAGTCATGTCTATTCAGAGTCCTTCCAGCCTTCCCTGCAACAGAAGTTCGAGTTCCTTTGGCTTTTCCTGTAATAGTAGCACTGTGCTCTGGCTTAGAACGGATCTAGGCATATGCATAGGATGATTCAAATCTAGAGGTAGAATGGGTTGAACATACCATTCTTCAAGGAAACTGGAACAAGGCATAATGTGGTATAAAAACAAAAAGAAAAAGAGTGCACTTCTAGTCATTTTCTAAGGTATGGAACAACAGACTCTCCAAAAGTAAATTTGAAATGGCTTATTTGGGCCCTGTGTGTTTTCATTGGGGGTATGGCTCTTCAGTTCGACACTGCAGGGTAGAATCACAAAGCACCACCACCTAGCCCTGGACTCTGGAGGTGGGGTAGAACGGTCCTTTTTAACCTTGGCTGCAGACAAACCTCATGAGTTGATCTCCAGCAAGAGGAGTCGTTTTCTTTTATTGTGTCCTGTCGTCCCCCCACAATTGAAGTAGTATATTTTGGTGACTTGGAAAAAACTGTTGTGATGCTTCCATGTAGAATTTCATCAATATGTCTTAAGAGCACGGAAAAGTTTCCTTGCACACGTGTCTTTACATAATTCCTTGACCACTTTGCAACTTCCTTTAGGTTGCAGATGCCATCCTGGGAAATCAGATGTTTACACACTATGATCGTGCCCACATTGCCCAGCTTTGCGAGAAGGCAGGCTTGTTGCAGAGAGCCCTGGAACACTACACTGATCTCTATGACATCAAGCGTGCTGTTGTTCACACCCATCTCTTGAACCCAGAGGTAAGATGAGTGTGCGCACTCAGCTGCATCTCAACTGTCTAGCCTTCTTAGTGCAGAAGAGGCCATCTCCCTTGGTGTGGGTTGCTGCTTCCTTGACTTAATTGGCTTCATACTCTGTCATCCTGCTCCAGTCTCCAGCCTCGGTTTCAGTGAGCTTGTTAGCAGATCATTTTTGGTTCTGCAGTGGACGTCTGGTCTGAAGGGTGTCAAGTTCAGTTTGATTGAATATCCTGCTTCCTGCCCAAAGCCTTCTGATTCAGAGGCTACACCCATAACTACATTCATAACATTGAGGAATATTTTTGTCGCAGCCTTCATGTTTCTGTTTATAGCATGAATTCTTGCATGCCTCCCTAACCTCCTTTTGCCCAGTGCAGCGGCTTGCGGAATGTGACCCCCAGAATCCCTCCCCCATCTTTCAGCTTGGGCAGTGACAGTAGACCAATGAGCTTATTCAACTTTACTCTTTGGTTTCAGAACTATGCTGAGGCTTCTTGTATCTGCAGTTACGAGCAAGGTTTCTGAATTAATCCTGTCACCAGTCATTTCTCCCCCCCACAACTCATTTTAAACACCATGCAAACTTTTCTCCTTGGTGCCATCTCCCTATGAAAACTCCCTTAGTAGTATTCTTACTGCTGACTGCCCTCTACTACCAGCTAAACTTCTTTTTTTGGGGTCTTGCTTACTGGTTTAAAATTACATGAGTTGCTGAAGCAATTTTGGCTTGTTCTTGTTGGCTCCAAGCCATAGCTGTCAAAACTCCCTGCAGAAGACTGAGACATGGCAAAATTCTGCTCTCAATTCCACTCTGTTCTTATCGCAACTTGAGACTTAAGCAGCTAGTCTTGAGAGAGTGAGGAGTGCCTCTGCTCTCCCCACCACCCTTTTCTTCATAAAGGCACTTTGTCCTGAAGGTATTCATAATTTGTACAGAGTTGGCTGGGTATACTGTACACTGTCAAGGCTTAAAAGTCCTACATTTGACTCTTTTGTCTGTTTTATTTTATTTGCTGTGATGTAGCTGTTCAGGCCTGGGAGTCTAGTTCAGTAGTTTAACCATTCAACCTAGACACGTGGCTCAGTTGCCATTGACACATTGACACATTACTAAGTCCATAAGTGATCAAATAACAAGTAGTTTCTTGAACTTCCCTGTGCAGGACCCAGGTTCAAATCCTTACTGTACCAGTGGATGTTGGCTTACATGAAGAATGTCACTTCATTGTGTGAACCTTAGTTTTTTCTCTTGTCTTTTAGTGGCTTGTGAACTTCTTTGGCTCTCTGTCGGTTGAAGATTCTGTGGAGTGCTTACGTGCCATGCTGTCAGCCAACATCCGACAAAATCTGCAGCTATGTGTGCAAGTGGCTTCTAAATACCATGAACAGTTGGGCACCCAGTCTCTTGTGGAGCTTTTTGAATCTTTTAAAAGTTACGAAGGTATGGCTGGAAACTTGAAATAGCAGTAATTATTGGAGGCCCCATGCAAACTATGTTTAGAGCTCTGTGTATCCTATTCAAGCACAAAAAAAAACAAAATAGACCTTTCTTAAAACAGTGTCTGGCCTATAAAGCTGTAAACATGGTTTTGACAGTGTGCAGTCAGTGCTTCATTCTTGAGAAGCAAGGTTGATGGTTGAGTAACTGAAGGCAGGGCTTTGGGTTGGTGGGCAGAACGCATAGCAGAATCAGGATATGTTGATGTGTATAACTTTGCTAAAACTCGGCAACTAAGAGAACAAAATAATCCTTTGGAAAATTAAGGCCTTGTGACTCTTGATAGCCAGTCTGTCTTGAAGTGCAAAATGCTTAAAGCTGCTGTGCAAATACCCTTCACTTTATGTATTCCATTTATGTGGATCTTTGTTTAAAGCTAGTCACCTGACCTCTTCATAAGTGGCTTTGAGTTGGGCTCTATTTTATTTATTTATTTTTGCTATTCCTGTTCCTGAAGAATTCCTGTTCCTCTCAAAAGAATGACTTCCCAATATTGCATTCTAGGCTTATTTTATTTTCTTGGCTCAATTGTCAACTTCAGTCAAGACCCAGATGTTCACTTCAAATATATTCAGGCTGCCTGCAAGACTGGCCAAATCAAAGAGGTAGAAAGGATCTGCCGGGAAAGCAACTGCTATAATCCTGAAAGGGTGAAAAATTTCTTGAAGGTAAGATTCCTGAAGGACAAGCTGTGTTAAATGAGACAGAATGGTGGTAGTTTCCTCATTGCTAGAACTGACAAGACTTCACAGCTGTAGTGACCTCTTCTATTGAGTTGAATATATTGGGGAGGGAATGGTGGTTGTAGCCTTTGTGGCAAGTGTTGACCGTAGTAGTGACATTGGGTATTGCCTGGAAGAATCAGAAGGAATAACCTTGTATTGCCATGGAAGGAATGGCAGGAGAAGTGCCCTAGGTAGAAATGAGTTGGGGTGGAGAGTCAGTAGCCTCAGGGATTACATTGAAGAAGAAGAAGAAGAGTTGGTTTTTATACCCTGCTTTTCACTACCTGAAGGAGTCTCAGAGCGGCTTACAATCATCTTTCCTTCCTTTCCCCACAACCGACACCCTGTGAAGTTGGTGGGGCTGAGAGAGCTCTGAGACAACTGTGACTGACCCAAGGTCACCCAGCTGGCTTCATGTGGAGGAGTGGGGAATCAAACCTGATTCTCCAGGTTAGAGTCCGCTGCTCTTAACCACTGCACCAAACTTGAGGTGGTGTTTGAAAAGTATAACTGTAGGAAAAGGCTGGAAGGGAATGCTAATGTATGAGGACTTCCAGGAAGAATGACTCGAAGATGAAGAGTTAGGTGTGCACACTAACATTGGCTAAAGCTGCTTTGTCACATTCCCGTTTTCTCTCTACTTGTACAGGAAGCCAAGCTCACAGACCAGCTTCCACTCATAATTGTTTGTGACAGATTTGACTTTGTTCATGATCTAGTTCTGTACCTGTATCGGAACAACCTACAGAAATACATCGAGATCTATGTTCAAAAGGTAAACACCGTTATTTAAGCCATACTCCCTAAAAATACAGGCACCCTTAAAATTATATAACATACATTTTCACCACTAATAGCAAGCTCTACTAAACTTTTGGCACAAAAAGAATTCTCATTGGTTGGGGTGAAGAAGTACTCTAAATAAGTTTTGGACCCAGTGAGAGTACAGTTAAGGATACTTTGGATTTGGATTACAGTAACCTGTAATTGCCTCAAGAATAACATAAGTAGATTTTACATGGTACAACTTTTGACAGTCCAGACGTTCAGCTAAATATTTTGTGCTGTATAGAATTTGCTGATTTCTTAAAATCCCTGAGACTAAGGATACTAACTTGTTCTAGGTAAACCCAAGCCGTATTCCTGCAGTGGTTGGAGGGCTTCTAGATGTGGATTGTTCTGAAGATGTCATTAAAAACTTGATCATGGTGGTAAGGGGCCAGTTCTCAACAGATGAATTGGTAGCTGAAGTAGAGAAAAGAAATAGGTAAGGATGAGGGTGGTGGTGGTGGTGCTTACTGTGGTTCTAAGCATTTACTTCTAGAACTTCTTAATGCCACCTTCTGTTGCATTTTTGGAAAGGATGTAATCCTTAAGAACCATCTTACAACCCCCCCTTGAAAAGTTCCTTTCCATTAATGTGCCCTAAAATTTGTCAAATGCTGCTTTTTTTGCATTCTGGCAAGCTGGTTTGCTTGGGATCTTGGGGAACTATTATCTGGCCAGTCCTGTCTCTGGCTAGACTTAAACATGACTGTAACAGGCAAGAACCGACTATGTGAAATTGCAAGTGCCCAGTGTAATTGAAGTTGGTATGCTGTTGGTGTGCTGCGAGGTCTGGACCTGGGGTGGACATTAGTATATTAATGCTTCATCTTCATAATTATATGGCTTATAGACTGTTAAACTTAAATAGACTTGACTAAATTGTTAGAAATAGAGGTGACCTTAAGCAACCCAAGACCTCAGGACAAGATCTTAGGCAACCTTTTGCCTGGTATAATTGCCTTCCCTATTCCAGAGGGTATTGCCGACATCTCCAAGGCCCTCTGGTAAAAACCAGCTAGCATGGCTGCCATATCCAAAAAGGTGGAGAATTTATACAGGGTGCAACAAGAATGTCACACCTATTTATTCAACTGTCCTCCAGCTTCATCTGTCATAGCTGAGGAGATGTAGGTGAAACAGTGTACAGGTGCACATTTCTCACCAGCTGATAGAGGGTGAAAAATTGATGCAGTTAGCGGAAAAGTTTACTCTTCTGCACTCAACTTGCGCATTGCAAACTATGGTGCAATTATGGGAGGATGCCAGTTGTTCCTCTGGGAAGAGATGACTGCTTGTATAGAGCTTCTGCCTGAAGACAAAAAGCCTCTGGCTATACTTCTCTAAGTGGAAGCATTGCGCCTATCCAAGCAACAGATTAATGTAGGCAGACACGTCGCTGACTCCTCCTCCACGGCCATGGCCTCAGCACTTGTACTAAAAAGGCATGCTTGACTGCACTCCACAGCTCTTCCTCCTGACACCCGGCAGAAGGTAAAAGATCTCCCATTTGAGGGGATGGCACTATTTGCTTTGTTGACTGATCTTTTATCCTAAATCAAGAAGAACAAGCAAACAGCTTGTTCATTTGGCATCACAGCAGGTCCCGCAACTCCGTACAGTATTCTACACAGCGGCCTTTTTCAGGGTCTATGGCACAGGGCAGGTGCAGCTCCAATCATAGAGCTAGACATTTGGGCTCACGACATCAGCCCCTTCCTAAAGAGCCACAACAGGCTCCAAAAGGTTCCTTCTGACTCTACAGCCAGTAATAGACCAGCCACCTATCATCTTTAAAGACAGGTTGTGGCTGCTTTCGGTGACAAATGGCAGGAGGTCACTCATGACACTTTGGGTTTGACATGTGTTAGTTTAGGTTAAAGATTAGAATTTGGGCCATCCCTCCAATATCCTGACCATGCCCCGAATAACTCCACACCGGAGTTGGAACAGGAGCTGTCATCCCTTATCCAAAAGGGGGCAGTACAGAGGATTCCTGACTCAGACCCCATTACAGGTTTCTGTTCACTGGTACCCAAGAAAGATGGAGGCCATAGGCCAATCCTGGATCTGAGGGATCTGAATTTTTTCTTGAATGTTAGAAAGTTCAAAATGTTATCTTTGGAGTTGGTCCTATAACTGTTAACATTAAACTGTTGTTTTTGTGTACTTGACTTCCAGGATGCTTATTTTCGTGTAGCTATCCACCCCTTTCACAGGCAGTGTTCCCTCTAAGCTGAGTTAGTGTGAGCTAGCTCACAGTTTTTTAGCCTCCAGCTCACACATTTTTGTCTTCACTCAGGAAGGATGGCTCCAGAGCAAACTAATTTATGCAGTAGCCAAATCGCTTGCTCACAACTTTAATACAACTAGCACACAAAGTAGAATTTTTCCTTACAAGACTCCCCACAGCTAAGAGGGAGCATTGATCAAAGGTGCCTGTGCTTTAAATATAGTCATGTTTCTTACCAGTACATGGCCCTTCTGTTTGGGCTGACAACTGCCCCTTCTGTTTGGGCTGACAACTGCCCCATGGTATTTTCAAAATGTGTTGCCGTTGTGGTAGCACAGCTAAGGTCTAAGGGTTGTTCTATTTACCCATAGTTGGATGACTGGCTCATTACTGCAGCTTCCTGTGGGGAACTGGAGTCACAGGTTTCCCTGATTATTCAAACATGCCAGGAATTGGGTTTGGTAATTAACATATAATCCTTATAATCCATAGATCCATTTAATCCAATATGTTGTTCATATGGGTCATGACCCACCGCAGCTGTGTCACACTGTGTCCTGAAGGGTGTGTGTGTGGGGTGTCAGCTTGTGTTAACATCAGCAGTACCACTTGCTTGAAGGAGCAAGACATATATTGGAAAGTGGGTCTTGGGTGGGGCCTGGTATGGAAGGGTCAGAGGCTCCTGCTTTATAGCTAACCTAACAGGCAGTTTTTTTGTTCAAGGCTTAAGCTGCTGCTCCCATGGCTTGAGTCTCGAATTCATGAAGGCTGTGAAGAACCGGCCACACACAATGCGCTGGCCAAAATCTACATTGACAGCAACAATAACCCAGAGCGCTTCCTGCGTGAGAACCCCTTCTATGACAGCTGTGTTGTAGGCAAATACTGCGAGAAGAGGGACCCCCACTTGGCCTGTGTTGCTTATGAGAGGGGGCAGTGTGACCTTGAGCTCATAAAGGTTAGCAGAACTCACTTTTTCTTGGATATGAATATACAGATATGTATTTATGTAAGGAAACTACTGTAAAAACACTATTGTGCTTGTAAAGAATTTCAGTGGGCAAAGCAGTTTCTCTAAATCAGCACTTCTTAAATTTCTTGGAAGGGTATTGGGGCTGCTCAGTGAGAAGCTCAGTAATGGCTGACAAGCTTGCCTTCATTTCAGTCTTGTTTTCATGGTTCAGACTCTCTAGAAGGCGACTTCATCCACCATTTTGACTATTCCCTTACGGCTACAGGGAAGCACTGGCTTTGTTCTTGGACACATATCTGGTTCACATGATGCACTAGTGAACTTCTAGAGGCCAGGCCAGAACCTTGTATAAACTGTGGCTGTGCACATACAGAATTGCATTAAAAGCATGCAGGGGTTTCTTCACATCTGGTGTGATTGGGGGGGGGGGGGGAGAGATTTCCTGAAACTAGAAAGTTAGAAAACCTGTGCTTCACATATACCACACACCACAGCATGGTCAGACTTGTAATTTTTAGGCTAAGTTCTTCAGCCTAGTTAAGATATTGGTACCATGCAAGGAAGGGTAAAGATTGACATCCATTGAGGTTTGTTTTCTTACATCCCCATGAATAACATGTACTAAGTGTGTAATTGTTTACCCAGGTTAAGTGATCACTAATGATCTTGGATCATAAAACTGGGTTACAGTTTTATAAGTGTATGTATTGAAAATACTGCCATCTTGTGTTCAGTTTCTCATATTGCAAGGCATTCTTCAGTGATTGTATTACTACAAAAGGGTGTAAGCACTATATTTGACCCTGTACAGTAATATTTATCAGGTTCTTTGGTCTCCACCTACACATTTCCCTGGCAGATTTCCTCCCTTGTGATGTCTGATTTTTAATAAAGTTAAACAATTGATGATGCAGTATAAGGCAGCACTGTTGCTCATAGGGTCCTGCTAGCTATGGTTTTATAGTAAATTGATGTGGTATAGGTGAACTCATGTTTTAGGATGTAACTAATGCAGGAGCTTCTCCAAGCAGTACCTTGACATCATTATTTTGTGAGTCCGAGGGCTGGAAAAGAACTTGTGTTGTATAAGAAGCAGAGTATTTGGCTTTCAGCCCCTGGCAGTTTTATTCCAGTACCTTTAAAAACGAGTAATAGAATAGAACTCTTGAGTCCCTAGGTCTGTTCTCAGCAGGCAAGAAGTTGCTGTATATTGAGCCTCATGTCAAGTTGTAAAGCTAACTTCTAGCCTAAATATTGAAACTGTTAATTATCAGTGAGGTTGGAGATGATAATCCAGACTATTCTGGACCAAAAGTGGACGTACTCACTGGTTCCTTTTTGTCCAGGTTTGCAACGAGAACTCCTTGTTCAAGAGTGAAGCACGCTATCTGGTGCGCAGAAAAGATCCAGAGCTGTGGGTAAATGTTTTAGAAGAAAACAATCCATTCAGAAGACCACTCATTGATCAGGTATGCCCAGTTAATTCTAAAGGAAAACGGATATGGAATGTTGGAAAGAATACATCATAACAACACTTTGAGTATAGATAGTCACTTTTTACTTTTGCCTTTATTGCAATAGCGCTGTATTTCACAGTGGTTGTTTTTGCTGTTGTGTTATCTACACTGATTCCTCTGGTAGTATTGACTCAGGACATTAACATGGTTTTTCGAATATTAGGTTGTCCAAACAGCCTTATCAGAGACCCAGGATCCTGAGGAAGTTTCTGTGACCGTCAAAGCTTTCATGACTGCAGACCTTCCCAATGAGCTCATTGAATTGCTTGAGAAGATTGTTTTGGATAACTCTGTCTTCAGTGAGCACAGGTAGGAGAAGTGTTTCCAAGCTAAACTAAGTGTACATGGAAATCACTGTTCATATTTTCACTTTGGTGGCCAGTAATTTTGGTACAGGAAACGGTTGTGCATGTGCTTGGCAGAGTCTCTGTAAGCTTTTGGGTTGGAAATAACCCACTCATTTTTAAGTTGCTTGTGAAGCTGCCTTATTCCTCCAACATTAGTCCATATAGGTCCCTGTTGTCTATTTTGACAGGACCTCTAGCAGAGAGAGGCCTTTTCCAACTTTTCCATCATGTGTTCCTTGAGATCCTTTAATGTGAGATGCCAGGGACTGGATCCTCAGCGGTTTTTGCCTGAAGAGCATGTGCTTGACCACTGAGTCAGGGCCCCTCGCAAAGCAAACTAAATGTTGAAATAGACTCGTACAAGTGGGTTGTCTCTGTTATGTTGCAGTTGCCTTTCATTGGCACAAAACTGTAAACTGTTTCTCACTTAATGTAATTGCTTTCAAAGGAACCTCCAGAACCTGCTGATCTTGACAGCCATTAAAGCAGATCGTACACGTGTGATGGAATACATCAACCGTCTGGACAACTACGATGCCCCTGATATTGCAAACATTGCAATTAGCAATGAGCTATATGAAGAAGCATTTGCTATCTTCAGGAAATTTGATGTTAATACGTCTGCCATTCAGGTGAGGCTTAGTCATAGTAACTTCAGCTGCCTGTGCGTGTTTACAGGCTCTGTCCTTGAGTTTAAACCTCCTTCCAAAGCTCTTGTATTGCTCATGCTTGAAACATTGGCAGATCACTGTGCACGATTTCTTGGGTATTTAGTTCAAGGGTATATAACAAGAAAGAACCCATTAATATTAAGGATGAGGATTTCAGAGGAATAATGTTGAATTACTTCTCTGAACACTTCTTGGTAGAGCAGTGGAACTTCGCCCATCTGTGCATTAATGTCTGAGGTGTCACCAGAAGCTGCCAGTATAGTTCGAAACTGTTTTGTGCAAGCCATCAGTGCTGGACTGGTGTGTTAAAGTGGAGGCTGCTTGCAAATGCTAGATGCAAGATTTTAGGGAAGCAACATCTTCTAAACTAAACCTGTCCAGTGAGTCTCTCTCCTCCTACCAAAACAGTGTCCTAGAAGAAGAAGAGATTGGATTTATACCCCGCCCTTCACTTGGAGTCTCAGAGTGGCTTACAAACTGTGAGGTGGGTGGGGCTGAGAGAACTCTGACACAAACTGCTCTTTTTCAAGGACAGCTGTGCCAGAGCTTGTGACTGACCCAAGGTCACATCAGCAGGTGCAAGTGGAGGAGTGGGGAATCAAACCCGGTTCTCCCAGATTAGAGTCCGCACACTTAACCACTACACCAAACTAACCACTACTTCATATATGGCTCATGTTCTGTAGCTTTCCCCCCCTTGTGGATTTAAATTGGCTACCTCAGATGGGTATTCTTACAGCTATTTCTGTATCTTTCAGGTGTTGATTGAACACATTGGCAATCTAGACCGTGCATATGAATTTGCCGAGAGATGTAATGAACCAGCTGTTTGGAGCCAGCTAGCCAGAGCACAGCTGCAAAAGGACTTGGTTAAGGAAGCTATAGATTCTTACATCAAAGCTGATGATCCTTCTGCCTACATGGAAGTGGTCCAGGCAGCCAACAGAAACAGTAAGCTAAAGGCTGCTTCCAGCTTGGCACCTCTCTGCTAAACAGCTGGAGGGAGAGATAGTGATGGTGAGGGGGTGTTCTTGGAAGAACATTATTTGATGGGGCTGGAAGCATGTAAAGTTCCCTCAAGCAGTCCAGAAATCTAGCCAGTCAATTGCTGGGTCCTAGGGATCCACCTTCACAGGAGTTTCTAGACTTGGCCTTTTGAAGGATCCTGCAAATCTGTCCATCTCTAAATGAATGAAGCGCCTTCTGTGGTTAGCATCTGCTTGAAAATTTACATAAAATACCTCCATGTTTGGTCAGATGGAACATCATTCTCTTTGACTCCTGCAGATTTAACTAGCAATGGAAAAATGTTAAAAGTAACTAATAGATGTGTTTCTTCTCCTGTTCCTCCACCCCACCCCCCAATCCATTAAGATAACTGGGAGGATCTGGTGAAATTCTTGCAAATGGCTAGAAAGAAGGCCAGAGAATCTTACGTCGAGACTGAACTTATTTTTGCCTTGGCAAAAACAAATAGGCTCTCAGAGCTAGAAGAATTTGTCAGTGGCCCCAACAATGCTCACATACAACAGGTGGGTTTTATGCTAATTAAAAAGCTTACAGTGATAGTGTTAAGTGCTTAATTGGGAGCTTGACCTGGTTCATCTGCTTCATTTAACTCTCTTCTTGCACTATTGTGGCCCCTTTTAGGTTGGAGATCGCTGCTACGACGAGGGAATGTATGATGCAGCAAAGCTGCTCTACAACAATGTGTCTAATTTTGCCCGCTTGGCATCAACGCTAGTGCATCTTGGGGAGTACCAAGCAGCAGTGGATAGTGCCCGCAAAGCAAACAGCACCAGAACGTGGAAAGAGGTAACTTACCCTGTGTCTTGAGAGGGTGTTAAGACTATGGTAAAAAGTCTACTGTACTGTAGCTTCTGCTAAAAAAAAAAATGTTAAGATTACTTCCTTGAAAGTATCTCTAAGTACTGCAATATTTTCTTGAGGACTTGCCTACAAATACTTTGGCCCTATAAACATATTCAATTTAGTTAAACTTTCAGGTTTTTAAGTGCCGTATCTGTCTTACTGACGATACTGATTTTACCTTTGGATATTTTGAAACCTGAGGGGCACACTTTCCATTGGGACAACATGAGCTGAAAACCTGGCTTTCTACACGTTGCTAATAACAGTTTCTTGTTGCAGGTGTGCTTTGCCTGTGTCGATGGAAAAGAGTTCCGGCTTGCACAGATCTGTGGCTTGCACATAGTAATACATGCTGATGAGCTGGAAGAGCTCATTAGCTATTACCAGGTTAGCTTCCTTCTAACTGCCTAAGACTTGAATATCTTTTGTTTCTTGTTGCCAAGAGGTATTAATGTAGTAACATGACTGAAGCTAGTATAATTGGTGTCTGTAATTTGTATATGGCTGAAACATACCTGGCACTAATAGCCTCCTTCCTTTTTTTGGAATTCCTTTAATATAATATTGTAATATGAGCTGTATTTCGGTGCCTAGTAGGACATTCTACAAACTGGTAACACTTGAGGTTAGAAATCTCTGAGCAGGTCTACTGGTATGTATGTGAAGAGCAGGAATATTGGTTTCCAAGAGGAACTTTGGCATCTGCGCCCTGCTTGTTAAGCCTCCAGGGTACTGGCTGGCCGCTATGTAAAACAGGATGCAAGACTAGCTGGATCTCTGGTGTGATGTGGCAGGGCTGCTGCTATATTTTTGGGTTTTTTTTGGCATTCTAGTTATACTCCATATACCTGAATCTCCCACTGCCAGGTGCCTGTAAGTCTGTCTTGGGAAGAAACCTCTTGCAGACTGATTTCCTCCCCCATTATTGGTGTTTAAGGAAATTGATGCTACAGCTATGAGTTGCAAACTTGCACCGGAATACAAATAAGCTGTCTTTATATACAAACTCAGACTCCAGTTAGTACAAAATGCTGCAGCTCAGTCACTATCAGGAGCTAGGTGGGGCATGCATATTGCACCCATTCTGCAGTCACTTCATTGGCTGCCCATCAGTTACCAGACTTGGTTCAAGGTACTGGCTATCACATATAAAGTCCTTCAAGGCCTTGGACCCTCATATCTGCAGGACCGGCTCTCCATCTAATCCTTACTGTGACAGTTTCACTCATCTGAGCACGGCCTTCTGCAGGTACGACCCTGCAAATGGATGAGATCAACAGCTGCTCATACATGTGCATTCTGTTGTGGTCCCCATCCTATGTGACGGCCTGCCTGATACCTGCCCCGCAAACTATGTAAAGCAAAATTGTTCAGGAGGGCGTTTTTATAAAGGCAACAGGCTTTATATTGTGAGGTAATGGTGGAAGAATGTGATTCAATAAAGAGAACAGGACTGTGGGTTAAACTACTACGTGTAGTATAATCTACTTGCTGTACGTATTATCTTGGTTTCACTACACTGTTACCTGCCAACATAATTCCACTTTCTGGCATTGCTAACACAGCACGTCTATAATACTTTTGCTTTATTTTCAGATTTCTGAAAATAGATGTTTTATTCTATTGAATGTGCTTACACTGTGTAATCCGCCTTGAGTCTCAATGAGAAAGGTGGACTATAGATAACATAAATAAAACTTGAAAGTACACAATACAAAGTTCTAACAGTATACTTTTGGTTTAAATCCTAGGACCGTGGTTACTTTGAAGAGTTGATTGCCCTCCTAGAAGCAGCTCTGGGTTTGGAGCGTGCTCACATGGGAATGTTCACTGAACTTGCTATTTTGTATTCTAAATACAAACCACAGAAGATGAGAGAACATCTGGAACTGTTCTGGTCCAGAGTCAATATTCCAAAGGTATTGACACTACCACAGTGCATTGCAAGCGCTTCTGCTGCTGTCTGAAATTATTGTAAATGCCTCCGTTATCACTTTTGTCTCACTATTCTTAAGGTGCTTCGGGCTGCAGAACAAGCGCACCTCTGGGGAGAGTTGGTTTTCCTTTATGACAAATACGAAGAATACGACAATGCAATAATTACAATGATGAACCATCCTACAGATGCGTGGAAGGAAGGACAGTTCAAGGACATAATTGCAAAAGTAAGCATATTTATTAATTTGTACCTCGCCTTTCTCCCCAATGAGGGCCCAAAGCTGCTTTCATCATTCTCTGTACCTCCATTTTATCCTCACAACAGCCCTTTGAGGTAGGTGAGTCTGAGTATGTTTGACTGGCCAAAGGTCACCCAGCAAGCTTCCACAGTGGAGTGGGGTACTTGAATCCTTGTCTCCCAGATCCTAGTCAGACATTACACTACGCTGGTTCTTAATTGTAATAGTAATGTTTCTGTGTTCGCCTGGTACTGGAGTACTGTATGGTTGAAGTTCAGAACTTCTTCAACCTGTGTGCTTCTTCACCAATGTTACTTGTGTATTTTGAAAGCCAAGAGAGGTAGGGCCAAGCATCAAAAAGATTCTTACCAAATCAGTTTATATGATCCACAGCCGCTAGCCACAAGTTACTAACTTGAGCTTTAGGACCTCACTTCTGTCCACTGATTTCACTCCGCACAACTAGTGGCATCCTTTCCTTCTCTTTACCTTTTACTGTCATATTTCTGAAATCATAGTCCTGGCTAAAGTGAGCCGTAGCTGACTCAGTTATTGTACCTTGCAGAACAAATGGAAGAAAAACCAGTGATCTCCATCACCACCATTTTGCTGGAGTCCATATTATCATATTCACAGCAAATGCCCGCTAGGCATCAAGGGCACCCTTAATTTTGTACAGTCAATTGGTAGGTAGGGTGCATTAAAGAAGGAGAGGGACAGCTGGGTAAAACCCAATGAAGCTTGCTTTAAAAAGTGTCCTCACCTCTGCTGCTATATCATTTTAGGACATACTGTGCCAAATGTTTGTGAAAAACCAACCCTGTTGCCCTCCTTATCCTGGGATATAGATCTTCTAACATCTAACAGGACTACTGGGGTTAAGGCTGATGTGGTTCAAAGACAGTCTGGGATCTAACACTTCATTATTTTGCTCATCCTAGGTGGCCAATGTGGAGCTATATTACAAAGCTCTGCAGTTTTACTTGGATTATAAACCATTGTTTATCAATGATCTCCTACTGGTATTGTCTCCACGGCTGGATCACACCAGGACAGTCAGCTATTTCTCCAAGGTGAGTTGGAGGTATCTTTACATTAATCGATTTGTGCTCTCGTGAGTCTTCTGAATGAATGTGATGCTTCCAGATTGAACATTCAAGGCCATGGGCACTTGCCTTTCTACCCTGTTGGGATCTTGAAGTTTTTTCTTCATTTCCAAATCTGTTGTTTCTTGTATCTATATATGGGGGGCGGGGAGGGTAGGGTATAAATCAGAAAAATAAATAAATAAATCTTAAAGTAGCCTGTTCCCCAGTGTTTTATACACAATATGCAAAGATAGTTTTATGGGGGGGGGGGGCAAGGAACAGATTGGTATGGCTTTTATCCTGGTTAGATAGATGTCCCTTAGAGGGTATACTTGATTGATCAGGATACTTTTCAAGGTAGCTTTTGTCTCTCTCCTTGTTCCATAGGTTAACCAGCTGCCTCTAGTAAAACCTTATTTGCGGTCAGTCCAGAACCACAATAACAAAGGCGTTAATGAGGCCCTGAATAATCTTCTAACAGAGGAGGAAGACTATCAGGTAGGCATTTCTTTGGAGTAGTAATTAGTGATGGGCATGAACTGGCTCATGAACCTAAATTTGTGATGAACTGGGCCCAGTTCATGGTTCGCGAACCGCAGTTTGTGCCAGGTTTGAGTGGTTCATGTTGGCAGACATGCTGGTGTCACCGGCAGGGGTTGGAGAAGGCATTTAAAGAGACTGCAGTGTCTTTAAATACATTCTCCAAGTCATGCTGCCGCGGTACAACTCAGCAAGTGAACACCGCTGTGTTCTGGACCAGTTGGAGTTTCTGGGTTGGTCTCAAGTGTTAGCCCTGTGTAGATTGAGTTACAGTAGTCTAGTCTGGAGGTGACCATTGCATGGATTACTGTGGCTAGGTTGGGGTGAGACGGGTGCGAGCCAGTTGCCTGACCTGGCATACCTGGAAAAATGTCCAGTCTGGTAACTTTTGTGATCTGGGCCTCCATTGATAAGGAGGTATCCTGGACCGCAGCCAGGCTCCTGACATTTGGTGCCACTATTAAGGGCACACTGTTAAGAGCACCCCAGACCTGAATCTTCACCCATCCAACCACAGAACCTCTGTCTTAGGAGGATTCAGTCTTAGCCGGCTCTGTTTCAACCATTCCACCACGGCCTCCAGCCCCTCAGCCAAATTTGCTGGGGTGATATCCGGCCCCCTGCCCATCAACAAATATAGCTGGGTTCCATCAGTGTACTGGTGGCACCCAAGCCTGAAACTCTGCACCATTTGGGCAAGGAAGCACATGTAGATGTTAAACAACATTGGAGAGAGGATTGCCCCCGAGGCACCCCACACACCAAGGGGTGCCTAGTTGACACTCTCTCTCTTAGCGTCACCCTCTGTCCCCAACCTTGGAGAAATGAGGTAAGCCATGTGAAGACTACCCCACGAATTCTTACACTGGCAAGGTGGTGGGTCAAAAGATCATGATCGACCATGTCGAATGCTGCTGCATAAGATCAAGCAATAGCAGCAGTGCTGACCCACCTCAATCCAGCTGTTTGCAGAGATTGTCTGTGAGGGCGACCAGTGCCATCTCCATCCCATGGCCAGGGTGGAAGCTGGACTGGAATGGGTCCAGCACCTATGTGTCTTCCAGGAAATTCTGGAGCTGTTCTGCCACCGCTCGCTCAGTTACTTTACCCAGAAACGAGAGATTTGAGACTGGGCAGTAATTGGCAGGATCCATAGGAACTAGAGATGGCCTTTTTAAGAGCCGTACTACCCAACCTCTCTTAATTCCTCCGGGTAGACCCCCGAATCCAGGGACAGATTGATAATGTCTACTCGGGGACCAGCCCTGAGGGATACTGGTCTAACAGCACCCAGAAACTGGGAGAGTTGGCTGAAGCTGTCAGACACTGAATCCAGTTCACATACCGTATCAGTACTGCCCCGGGAGGTCATGGCGGAGTAATGATTTTATCTGCAAAAAAGCCTCACAGCTAATGGCCAAATTCCTAACATTTTCGGTTCTCTCAATGAGAGAAGTTAAAGATCTAATTACCCTAAACAATTGTGTTGGGCAAGAGCTAGCAGATGCGATGGAGGCTGCATAAAATACCTTTTCAGCAGCCTTCACCACTACCTCATAGGATTTCAGACATGTCCTATAAGATGTTCTTGCTACTTCGTCATGAGTACGCCACCAAACCCGCTTCGGGGAATAATTTAGATCAGGAGTGAAGAGGATGTTGGGGAGCGATTTCATCAGTGGCTTCTGAGAGATGGGAGTTCCAGTCCATAAATCTGCTTGCCGCCTAGAGAGAAGGGGGCTGGGACACCAACCTGGGTCTTCAGGGCAAAGTGATCAGATCATGGCACTTCATCCTCAGCAGTCAGAGGCTGTGCACAGTGTTACTATTAACTCTTCTTTTTGCACTCTCCAGAAAGCTTGACTGAAAGTTGCATCACTGTAGGATTGGCAGCATTTGAAAAAAATAATAAATGTAAAAGTCAAGACTTATATGTCATCTTGTCAGTCTAACTTTCTCCCTGTATAAACAGGGCTTGAGAGCATCCATCGATGCTTACGACAACTTTGACAACATCACTCTAGCTCAGCGTTTGGAGAAGCACGAGTTGATTGAATTCAGGCGTATTGCAGCTTATTTGTATAAAGGCAATAATAGGTGGAAACAGAGTGTGGAGCTCTGCAAGAAGGATCGCCTCTATAAGGTGTGTTGAATGTTGTTTCCCTGTGCTTATTTTCATGTTCAACATTTTGCTTTTGCAACATTTTACCTTTTAAACGGCCATACAGATACCCGTATGCCTACCAACAGTGCCTGAGCTGCTGTAGTCCCGGTCCACTGAAATCATTTGGCTTGGACTGGAATAACCTGGCATGGAGTTAACCCTGTATAGCATATTGCACTGTAAATTTGTTCTTGTATAACACAAAATGTCCATTGTAGTTCTCCTAGGTTTGTTTTATAATGCAAGCTGAATTGCCACCAAGCAAAAGCTGCGAAATGGAAACGGGACAGTTGCATTGTGTGACTAGTAGCTCTGTATGGCTTTCGCTACAGGCAAAGCTCAGAGTGGGACTTGAGTACACTGTAGGGCAAATGATGTGTAAAGTGAGGCTAGCTGGCGTTTGGGGGAAGGGAAACAAAAGTTGAGCTTCCTAATTGGAGATGAGAATCCCAGAAACCAAGGAAGGAGGTTGCTTTGTTCAATTTTTTTTTAACCAGCCCTTCTACTGATATACTGGACCTCCTGTTAAAGGTCCTCTTCTCAGGCTCTGCTGTCTCTGTCCCCAACTGCAGAGGTGAGGCAGATGGGAGCCAGAGATGGTGGCACCTTGCCATTCTAATGTCATCTCCCTTGCAGCTTGCCTGGCATTTACCTTCCTTTCTCTTTAAGGTAAAGGTAAAGGTTCCCTTGCTCGAAAGCCAGTCGAATCCGACTCTAGGGTTGCGGTGCTCATCTCCGTTACAAAGCCGAAGAGCCAGCGCTGTCCGAAGACGTTTCCGTGGTCATGTGGCCGGCATGACTAAACACCAAGGCGCACGGAACGCTGTTACCTTCCCACCGAAGTGGTCCCTATTTATCTACTTGCAATTTCTTGCTTTCGAACTGCTAGGTTGGCAGGAGCTGGAACTAGAGACAGGAGCTCACCCTGTCTTGCGACACCCGGGTCTTGAACCACTGAACTACTGACCTTCCACAGCCTGCAGTTCAGCGTCTTAACCACTTGAGCCACCGCAGCTCCTCCTTTCTCTTTACCATTTAATAAAAATATTTATCTTCCCAGCTTTTTGACTAATGGGATCCATCTTCTTTAGCTAACTTATGGACTCCTACAAGCCTGAGAACTACTCTATATCAGCATTTTAGACTGCTCTGTTACATTTTTATTGGCTAGCATATTTTTATCGTCTTGTTGGTATTTTATTGTGGGCTCTCTCAACTGGGCAATATACACATTTGATAAACAAATTCAAAATTCCACCTAATGAGACTAGCTCCATTACTGTGGTGTTCTGTAGGATGCCATGCAATATGCCGCAGAGTCCAAAGATCCTGAATTGGCAGAGAAACTGCTGCAGTGGTTTTTGGAAGAAGACAAAAAGGAGTGCTTTGCAGCTTCTCTCTTCACCTGTTACGACTTGTTACATCCAGATGTGGTTCTTGAGCTGGCATGGAGGCACAACATTGTGGACTTTGCGATGCCTTATTTCATTCAGGTGATGAGGGAGTACCTTACCAAAGTAAGTATGGTTTCTATGGGAAGGCTTGTTGCTTGTTGAGGCTTTTGTGTGACCCTTCCTCATTAATATACTTGAACAGAAAGAGTCAGCATCCCAATTATGGACTCAAAACTCTTCAGACTTATGCAGAGAAGCACTTAACAGCATCGTAAAACATTTCAAAGACTGGTTACAGTTGCAGCAGTTGTAGAAGTCAGATTGGAGGGAAAAGGGTACATGCTTACGAAAATTCTACTTTTCCACAGATAGTACTAGAGGGAATGGCAAGACAGTAAAAACCACTTCATGTACTGTATCAATCACTACTGTGAATTTAATATGGCATTTTGGTAATGCCAAACAAGCCAGGTCGTGTCCATGTATTGAAACTAATGCAGACTTTCCTTGAGGCTTAAAAGTGTATGTTAGCACTTCCTTCCAATGTGGGCCACTTCCTGTCACTCTTTAGTATATTCTTTCCTCCCCCCTCCTCCTGCCATATATGTGATGTGATCTTTGCTTTGTTACTTGGCTTGCTGGTTTTTAAGTGTTCCCCTCTGAATTTTCTTGCAGGTTGATGGGCTGTTTAATAAGGTGACAGTCTCTGGTTTTACACTCTGTGTTTAATTTGTGTCCCTTAAAACACATCTAGGGTTCTGTGGGAACCTAGCTGTAGTCTTTTTGCTGAAAAGCAGAATAATCTAGCTTGGTCTAACTGATTCACCCCTAATGCTAATAGTAAAACATGTCCTCACAAACTACTTGAGGAAAAATCCAACCAGACCTTGCATGCTTCTTTTTTGTTGGGGGAACTAATGGAATATTCCAGTGGCATACCCACTAATTGTAAAACTTAGTCAAATGGAGTGGCCTGAAAGATTGGTCTTCATTGCTGAGCTGCATCTCTTTCACAGCACCACTAGAGACTGAAAAGCCTGTTAAGTATTCCTATAAACTTGGAATGTATTCATAATATTGGGCCACTTGGATAGTTGCTGCCTAACCTCCTTGGAGAAGTGGCAAAGTTCCAGTAAGCCAGTCTATGTTGCTGGACAGAGCTACATTGCTGGACAGACTTTGCCCAACTTGCCTTCTCGTATTTTAAACAAACAAACTGGGGTATAACTGAAATGGCTGATCTGGAAAGCGCTGCTGTGGTGCTGCGTTAAGCTGAACTCTGGTTGAATTTTACAAGTGATAACGTCTACTAAATTCTCAGTCTTCCAGGGAGAGAGAGCATGCTTGATGAGACTGTTATTAAAATAAACTAATCTAGCTTGTGGCAGTAGAAATGAATTGGAGAATGAGTTTTCCCTTTTACATAAATAGATTTAACTTCCCTCATAAGTGTACCTAACAGCAAGATGTGTATCCTTCCACCAACAGATGTACCTCCCATTAAAGTCTAACCATTTTTGTATATTGGGATAGCAAAGCAAGCTATCCTAGTATGTATATCAAGTTGCATGCCCACCTTGTGAATAGGAGGTTCAGCCAGAGTCTACAAAGGCACTTTTGTACCCAAATGCAGAAACTGCAATTTCTATACTTGCAGACCCTCCTTGGAACTTCCAGTAGGAGTGGTATGCCCTTCTAATGGAATAAATGTTGATGTGTTGACTCCCTCCCACAGGGTAGTCTTGTAGCTTAGGGAGCAATCTTTTTGTAGCCATCATAAGTCTAGAATAGAAGCACATACTACAGCATTTAACAGCAGTGTCTGTAGAGGCTTGAAGGGCGGAAGTTCAAGAAAATGACTGAACATCACTATTGGCTGGAAGCTCAATAGTACATGATAAACAGAGGCTGGTGGTTTTCTTCCTAGCCCCCCGCCCCCCGGTTAATCTGTAATAGGCAGCACTGTTGTTTGGTTAGGTCCGAGGAGTGCCTCCAAAACTGCAATCAAGGTGGTTTAGATTACTTAGTTATGGGAACATCAATGTTGGTAGGATATTTGGCTCCTGCCTGAAGAAATATTCTGTGCAGTTTGGAAGCTTACTACTCTTAATGTCCTGACAATGCAGTCCTAAGAGAAGTTACTCCAGTCTAAGCCCATTGGTCTCAGTGGGCTCAGACTGGAGTACAGCTGTTTAGGATTACAGTGGTTGACATAAAACCATGGACCTCCCTGTTCTGACGTTAGCATAGTGGTAGAGAAAGTGTTGACAGTGATTGCATTGCCTTTTTATGGTGAGTGGAAACATGACGCAGTTCAGTCCTCAGGGGAAGCAGAATTGGGTCAGGTGTGGAATTTGTCAAGAGCAAAGTGAGTGGCAGCTAGTAGGCAACAAACCGATATGAAAGCTGTTTGGTTCCAATACCCTGGAAACTGAATTGTCATTTTAAGTTAGTGCACTTTTGAGTGAAATCACTCTTCTGTTCTAGCTTGAAGCAATTGAAGGCTAGGAAGCTGAGTAAGAGATGATCATAAAGTAAAGCATTTTTACTGCAGTCCTAAAGACTACATAACTAGAATCAGAAATGATGATGCTAGTTAAGTCATATATATAAAAGGGAAGTAGCAACTCTCCTGCTAACACCTTTCTTAAATTCTCAGGAACTCATTTTGCTGACTTATAGTTAAGAGATAGTGTTTTGACTTGCTAGTTAAGCAGTTGACATAACTTCATTGAGGTTGTTTAATATCTTGGTGTGATTCTCCACATTCTTTAATTAGCATGGCAGGTCTCTGTTAACTGCAGTTGGATCATGAAGTATGTTTCATTCTCTGGATCAGAAACTTTGCTATTATCAGGAATCAAGTAAATATTATTTCAGAACTAACTAAAAACCAGTCTGGTTAGACAGATAGGAAAATAGGACATTGTAACTTTCTCCAGCTTCCTCTGCTTTCCCTAACCCCACTCTCAACTGATCAGTGAAGGGGCAGGACCAAGCCTGCTGTTCTTCCACACCAAATGTGGCTTTCGGGCCTTGAAAAACAGACAATACAGAGTACTTCTCTTATCTCCATGTCAATATTCTCTCCCCTCCAAATTCTGCTTCAATGCGGATTTCAGCATATCCCCCCCCCCAACTCTAAAGGCTGTTTAGCAGCCCTGTAAATAGGCAGTTTTCGGGGGGGGGGGGGAGATGGGCTGGGCTGCTGTTGCTCCTTCTCTTCTCCCAAAGACAAGCCCCCACCCAACCCATGTTCAGATTACAGATCGGGGGCAAAGCAGGCTCAGCCACCCATCTCCCAGCTCCATAGAGAGAAAATGGCAGCTCTTGGCCTCTCAGCTGGGCCTTTGTAGCCAGGAAGACCTGCACCGCTCCTGGGGTGCTGACCTGGTCAGCTGTGCCCACTCTGCACTTCTGGAGAAGCAGAGGCGACTCTCTCGCTTGCCATGGGCATGGCCCAGCTCTCCCGTGCTCCTCTCCTTCTCTCACTGCCCAGCCCTGCTATGCTCCTTCAGCTGGGCTCATGGCACCTGCAGCCCTGGCAGACAGGTGGTGAGCCCCCCCCCCCCCGCTTAACATCTTTCTGAGCCAACCCGCGCTGCACTGTGGTGCAGCAAGCGCCTCGGCAGGCAGTGGGAGCAGCCCTGCGGTGTGAAGCTGCTTCTTTCCCAATGCCCCCCTGTAGCTATGGGTGTGCTTTTTAGGAAGGACCTAGTTCTGTCTTCTTTACCCCCAGATGGGTTCCCTGCTTATGTTGGCTAGGTCACTCAGTGCCAGAGGTGGCTGGCATAATTTTGCTCCAGTGCATTGGCCAAGTGCAGCACTTGATAGGTTAAAGTAGGAATGAATGGCAGCCATTCTCTTGAGAAGACATCATGCATGCTCCTGGGTACCATGGGTTACAGCTGTCTCTGATGACTCTCGTGCCAGAATAAAGTAGCAGATCTTGTTCCATCTCCTGTACTGTCTGCAATCCTTTCCCAATTTGTAGGAGCCATAGATACAAGCCAGACAAGCTCTGGGTTTCCCTGCATTCTGCTTCTTGACTTTGCTAGAGTGGTGGGAACTAGCTCTTACTGATATCTTCAAGCACACCACCAGTGATTCTAGGCAGTAGCTTTCTGCTATAGACTACTCTTTTTTGGTGAACTTGACTTAGAGCCCTGACCTTTGTCTGGGACAAGAAGCTGTCCTAGGTCTCAGTGACATTGAAACCTTCCCCTATGTTCTGCAGACACTTTGTTTACACAGTGCTGAACATAATCATTACTTGAACTGGAAGTACCTTGTTTGGGGGCAGTTGTGCTATAGGAGGTCACAGAAGAAAGGGTTTAGGAAATTCCTTCATGAGCATTTCCTGTTCACTTTATAACTCAGGTGGATAAACTTGATGCTTCTGAAAGCCTAAGGAAAGAAGAGGAACAAGTAACTGAACCCACTCCAATAGTATTTGGTAGGTGAAGACTTTCTTTTTATTGTTAGGCCCTCAGTGGCAAAATCTAAGCATACCTTAAATGCCAGTGGCACTCCATTCTTTCCCCTCCCCAACAGTCCCTTGCTCATTAATGTTGAAACATAGCCATGAGATTCCTCATGTGATGTAAACAGAATCTTAATGATTTTGCACTCCTCCCAGTATAATACAAATGACAAGCTATTTAGTAGAGATTACCTTTTTCTGAGTATCTTAGACCCACAGTGTCTTGCAAATTGTACAAAGAGGTTCCTTAGAGTGCACCCACTAAATGGATATCTGGATAGACCAATTGCGCAAATTGCTTGTTGATGATGTAGGAATAGATACTGGATTCCTGGGGAAAATCCACCTCCTCAAACTGTGATATTGGCAAATTGCATGGATGACCCATTCCAGAAAAATATATGTACCCACAAAAGCTGCTCAGAACCATCCTGGGGATTTAAAATGTTAGACTTAGAGCAAGCCTTGAGGCTTTCAATTGAAATCCTCTGTAAACACTTGCTTGGAGTGACCCTGGACACTTGCTAATTCCAGAGGAAAAGAACATTCTTTGACTTTCCTTTGAACTATAGCAAAGAAAAAACTTGTCTCACCATGAGCAACAAAGGCATCGAATGGTAAGATGAAATCTTTTCCAGAAATACATAGTTCCTTTCAATCTAGGCAAAAAGTAGACTTTTTTGTTCAAAATAGTATTCTACAGTGCACCGTTAAAGGAAGCTTGTGGCAGAAGCTCATTCTGTAGTGGGAATAGCTTAAACTGAATTTCTGCTTCCTGCATGAGGCATGTGGGGTTGTAGTTGTGTGTTAACACTATGTGTGTCTGGTCTGTGACAAGAATTAATAAACAGAGGCTGGGCTGGGCAAACATAACTAACAGATCTAACTGCAGTGTGTTAAAATTCTGGCCATGCATAACATCTTCTTGTATACTTTTATTTGTTGACATTTCAAAGATTCTCTGAAACTAGATTTTGAAGCTCGTATAAGGATTTATGCTTCTGGATGCCTGAAACACCCCCCCCCCCCCAGTATTCATTATACACTGTATCAGTTTGGCCACTTCTATATGATACAGGAATATTGAAGAGTGTGCTAAATCAAGCCACTACTTAACCATGGGTGACTTGTGAGGTGGTGGTAAGCCATGGAATGTAAGAACTGAAGTTTGTATTTTTGGTCAGTTCTTTGTTTTAAAAGTAGCTGGGTTCAGTGGTAAAGCAGACTCTAAAGTTCCAAGTTGAACATATGAAGTATTTTCTACAGAGTCAGACCATTGGTCTGTCAAGGTCTGTACTGTCTACTCTGGTAGTGGTTCTGCAAGGTCTCAGAGTTACCTGAAAAAATCTCTGTCTGCTAGCTAGTCCTTTAACTGTAGATGCCAGGTGTTGAACCTGGGGCCTTGAGCATGGAAAGCAAATGGACAGACACCCTGGAGAACTGCTACTGGTCAGTAGGCAATGTAGAAGGTTGCAATTTGTCTCATATTTGTGTTAATTTATATCTGGTAATTTCCCTGTACCAATCTTCAGCCTGAAGCTAACATATCCCTATTCTATTTCAATGCCAAATGCAAGGATTATGGGAAAAGCAATGTGTTCGGAATGTACCAAAGCTCTGGTTTTCAGGTGTTTCAGGGTCGGGAGGTGGGGTGGGAACCAGCTCTGACTTCTTCTCCTTTCCTCCTTCTAGGCCAGCAGCTGATGTTAACAGCAGGCCCCAACGCAGTACCTCCACAAGCCAACTTCCCATATGGATACACAGCACCGGGATTCACCCAGCCACCTGTTTATGGTTTCAATATGTAATTTGTGCTCTGATGGACCTGTTAATGGTCTTGGGTCTTTTTTCCCCATCCCTTTTTACTTCTTTTTTTTTGTCCAAGAAGGCACAGATGACTCCCAGTGTTCTGGCTGAATGTGGTCCCAATGGGTTAAGAGACATCAAAGGGACACTATTATTTATTGCTATGTCCTGTTTCATTTCAACTTGGAAAGGCAGCTTTTTTCCCTTTGTCACTGACAATTGCAAGGCTCTGGCTGAGGTGGGTACTGCCACTAAACTTACAATGCTGCAATAACTTCTTGGGGCCGGGGGCCTGACTCCTCTATCTCACTGCAGAACCCTTTTGCCATCCATGTTCACGCTGGGGCATACTCTGGCACCAAGCTGTTAGTACTCTAAAATACTAGACTATGCTACTTGGTAGCAGGGAATTAAGTTCAGTATCCTCCTTTACTAGTGGGAGGCATTTAAGAAACTGATTCCACCCTGCGCCTACTTGTATGTAGCCCTGGGCAAATAGGAAAGCGTTAGAAGTGTGTTGGTAGGGATGGGAGCTGAGAACAAATGTCTACTTGACAGAGTATTGAGGGGGAGGGGGTGCAGAAAAGCATCTAAGCCTTCTGGAACAGTTTGAAGCTCTTTATTGGAGAATAAATTGGATCGTATCACAGAGCAGACATTTTCCCAGGTCTTTTTCTTTTCCCCTTTAGCATAAAGGGTGAGCATGATACTTAGTGGCATTAAGTGGTACACCCTTTGCTGTGATTTGGGGAGCGAAAGTCTTCAGAGGTGTGTGCCTGGGCAGCTATGGCTGTGGAAGTGTGTGGTGCAAAGAGACACAGGTTAGGCAAAAAGCACTGTCAGCCTTGAAATAAAAGGGAGGTGGTGTGCTTCTGCATAAGTACCTGAAAGCTGATCCTAAAAACAAGGATCTGGACTGTCAAGGGTTGAGAACACCTGGCTCCGCCCAGCTTCAGTGGGGCAAGTGGTGTGCCCAGCCACATGCACGCACACCTCTTCCACTAGAGGATGCCAACTGAGATGTACTACTTTGTGCCACTCTTCAGAGATACATCATTAACATTTTATGTACTTAGATAACGATGTATAATTTATGGCTATGAATCTTGTGCTAATCATGAATACTATGAAAGTCCAATTATAAAACGTTAATCAAACCAGTGTCCACTGTGTGGTTTGAAATGCTGAGAGACAAAGTGTCAGCTAGTGCTGCACAAGAGATGGTATAGAGTAACCACCGAAAGGGAAAATACATCCAATGACCTTTCTCAGGCCCTCTTTCACTCTCCCCGCCATGGCAGAGGGACACACAGTTTTTCTCTTGGGCAAAGGACCAGACTTGGGTTTGTTGCATACTTAGTCCTGGAAAATACAGCATTGGGGTATAATTCTACTTATGCTTTCATTGGTTATTAGCCTTTGATTTTCTCTTCCCTGAACAGTAACTGCATCAATGCATCAGCTGCTTCCCTGCTGTTCTCCTATGAAAACTTCATCCATACCATCTCCACGCACAGAGCCATGACACTGGACCCTAAAATGAAGCTTTTGTCCTAGACAGAGTTGGATCCTATCAATACAAGGACTGTGGGATCTTCTTCCCCTCCCCCTGGCATTATATCGGGTCCCAGGAAAGCTTATTCCTAGAGTCAACAGGCTTGCCTGTACTAATAGCTGTGTGGTTGGTTAGCTGTAGTGAGGAGACAAAAGGAACAGAGATCAGAAATGGCTCCCGGGGGAGGCAGGGGGGAAAGAACCAAGACCGGCCATACTTGTGGTTAGCAGTTTGCGGGATCCAAGTCATAGTGACATTAAGTAGATGACTAACTATGAAAACAGAGCTAAGGCCACCCACAGAGAAGTTAGGGATTTCTGTATACCCACAGTGCTCCACAGGTATACAAAACAAATTTCTCTGTAATAAAGGGAACTTTTCACACACACACACCCAAAAATAATCCCAGCCTAATAAGAACTGGACATGATGGATAGAAGGGGGAGGTGAGACTTTGCTTGTTCAAGCCCTTGAAAGCTTACAGGATCCTTGAGTGGGGGGAGGGGGTATTGGAATCAGTGGTAAAGTTAATGAAAGGAGGAGCTAGAGTGTGGGTTGCCCAAGGTGCCAGTTTGCTTTAAAAATGACTACTAATGCACCTCCAAATGTGTTTGATCACAGAAACTTAGAAGGAAATTCGTCAGAAGAGAGCTCTTCGTGGGTATTTTTCTACACTTACATTTTTCTACACTTGTAGTTTGACTAAGCTGTTTGCAAAAAAAGAGCAGCAACCTTGGTGCTGGTAAGATTAACATTGGGTTGCTTTTTGGCAAAAAAGGTCAAGGTTTCCAATACGCTAACTTGGCTCTCTAACAGATTTATAGAGGATGCAGGGCTAGACTCCAGTCACTTCTGGCTAAGTGAAATGGAATAGCTAAAACCCTGTTTTCCCTAAGTCCCACCCCTCTAGTCCAAGCATTCTTGGGTGGATGACATACCCATTATTCCATTTTCTTCCACTACCTCGTTTTGATAAGCTAAGGGCTTCAGTGGGTTTCAATGACCCTCCCGCTCAGATAAGGATTTGAGGTTTGGTATTGACTGCTAATTCCAATATTATCCACTATGCCACAGTAGCTCAAAATCCCAATCAGCCTAAACTCACCAACAAGTGTTTGAAGCAGGTAACTAATTAATTTAAATCTTAGTTTACATTCACAGGGGCTGTTCCTGCAGCCTTTGGGCACCACTGCTGCTATAGAACTTTGTCTGCTTCACCCATCTGCCGCTACAAGAATCTTGCTAGAAGTAACCTACCACCTACAGCTGGGACTTTGATTCTTCATTTGGGTAATTTGCCCTCTAGCCACTTGGTAATATTACGCAGTTTGGTTTCTGTTGACTTTATACCTAGCGCACTGCCTAAGCCTCCAAGGAACTCATGTATTCCAATTAGTGCTAGAGGCAGAACTGAGTAACTGCTGTCTTCTGTACTGTCAAAAGGAAAACAAGCCTGTGGTGCAACTAGAGACTTTTGTGCCCAGCAACACAGATTTAATTAGGTTCAGCGTACCACCTCCTTCATCCCATAGTAAAACACAATCTGCAACTTGGGCCTTTTTGACTATGCCCAGCCCAGTCTACCTCCACCCCCTTCATGTTTGTGCAGTTGCATGATCCTTACCCTCAAAGAAATCAGGTGAACTTTAAAGCTTGCTTACTCTTGCGCCATTGCAGTTGTCTAATACAGATGTCTAATGTTTTGATCCACTGGAGAAAATTCAGCTGTTGGCTTTCTCTGGAAATAAAAATTCTCACTAATCTGGGAGAACCGGGTTTGATTCCCCACTCCTCCACTTGCACCTGCTGGATGACCTTGGGCAAGCCATAGTTCTGGCACAGCTGTTCTTGAAAAAGAGCAGTTTCTGTCAAGAGCTCTCTCAGCCCCACCTACCTCACAGGGTGTCTGTTGTGGGGAGGGGAAGGGAAAGGAGTTTGTAAGCTGCTCTGAGACTCCTTTGTGTAGTGAAGGGCGGGGTATAAATCCAATCTCCTCCTCTTCTCTGCTATGTCAGATGATGGTGAACACCTCTGGTGGTACTGACATTTTTCTAAGCAGTGCCTCTCTCCTAAAACATTGTAAACAGTGATGATGCCTAGAGAAAGGAGAGGGATCTGTAGGAGGGAGAGAGTGGTTCTGCTATGCCCAAAGAGGTGAATGAAAAGATGCCTCAGCTTGCTTACGTTTATATAAATATCAAAACAAGGTAAAATTTGTTCTGCTTTTTGTTTGAACATGGAACAAGTAAAAAAACCAGATACTAATGACCTCTAAGTAGCTGTTCATAATATTGAGCTGTTTGACCCTACTCATAATCTTCAATAGCATGACCCTCAGTTAAACATAACCCATTTTTCAGCCATGTTCTTTCCAATGCAGCAAGGCAACCTGCCCAAAGATCCTCTAGATGTTGGGAATGCTTGTGAATGGGGCTGGCCTGCCCTACTCAGGGCAAGGGAGACTAAGTAAGGGAGAGTCCGTGGCTCACTGGTAGAGCATGTGCTTCACATGCAGAGGAGCCCAAGTTCCATCCCCGGCATCTCCAGTTAAAAGGACCACACAGTGAGTGATGTGGGAGACCTCTGCCTGAGACCCTGGAGAGCTGCTGCCAGTCTGTATAGACAATACTGACCTTGAGATCAATGGTCTGATTCAGTATAAGGCATCTTCATGTGTGGTTTTTTTTTTTTAATGATTTGTACATGCTTAAAAAACAACCTCAAGAACACTCCCTTCCATAAAGGGACTCTTAACTGTGGAACAGGCACCAAGAACCCTTCTATATAAAATGGTAGTATTGCTTATAACATTGAAGAAGAAGAAAAAAAGCAAATCAGTACCCCTTTACCCTACCAGAACGCAAGTGTAAGTTCTTCCTCCAGTAGGATTCCTACATACATATACTGCACTCTCTATGTGCCTTATTCAGTGCCATATGCTAATGTAGCAGCTTGCCAATCACCAGTAACTCACCACTGGCAAGCAGGCAAATACGCACCACCATATGCGTGTATAGATGTGATCTGCATCTAAGCCAAAGCCCTTTTAGCTGTGAAAGAATCCATGCTGAGTTGTGGGCAAATGAATGTAAAAGAGGAGGGGAAAGGCAGTATATTTTTATAGGCCATGATATAGTTCTGAACATACAGGAGGCACGCGTCTCACTGACGCTGAGCATCTTTAAATCTAGTCTGTGCTCGGCTCTGGAATTGTCTTGGAACCTCAAAGTGACTGCTGTAAGACTTAAAGCTGTAAATAAATGAAGCACAAATAATGTCCCAGGGCTGAGAAAATTCCTGTGCTGCAGCCCGACTGCCTTGATAATCTGCTTTATCAGAGACTTGACTAGAATTAAGTGGGGAATGTTGACTGCTGTTGTCTAGAAGGGAAATGGGCCAATACAGGACTCTGCTTATTTGTGTTCTGAATTCAGCAAGGTGCCCCTCATTGGCACTTGGAATTGCTCCTGCCTGTTTGCCAGTTTGGTGTAGTGGTTAAGAGCGCGGGGTATAGATCCAATCTCTTCTTCTCCTCTTCTTCTTAACTATCCTGTGGTACACTAGAGGGCAGCCTTATTTGAAAAGTGTGTCTGGGTTAATTCAGAAGAGCTTTGTCCCTTAAAGATGTGGATGGACACTAAGACGGGACTCTTAAGTGAGATTACTCCCTTCAAAGTCCATTCAAGTAAAGGGGCTTGGAAAGGTATGACTTTGTTAAAGATTGCACTGTCACTGTCGTTTCCAGTTTTCAGGACATATTGTAATCTGCAAGGAAGATGTGTTGGCTCCAGAGGCGGGTGTCTGTTGTGCAGATGGACTCTTCTGCAGCCTGGCAGGAGTGGAGCAATGGTCTATTTAGCCCAGCATCGTGTTTCCCACAGTGATTGGACAGATGCCTCACAAGGCAAGGACACGAAGGGGGGGGAAAGCCTTCTCTTGATACTTCCTTCCCCCTACAACTGACATTTATTGGTACAGACTGGGTGCGGGGGGAGACCTGCAGGGAGAGGGGGAGAGGGGGAGAGGGAGAGAGGGAGAGAGAGGGAGAGGGAGAGGGAGGGAGAGAGGGAGAGAGAGGGAGGGAGAGAGAGAGAGGAAGAAGAGAGATATATAGAGATATAGATATAGATAGATACAGAAATAGATATAGATATAGATATAGATAGATATAGAGTTAACCTAAGGCAATCTCATAGGGTTTTCAAGGCAAGAGATGAATAGAGGTGGTTTGCTATGGCCTGCCTCTGTATAGAGAGTGACCCTGGAATTCTTTGGTTTTCTCCCATTTAATATTATTATTACTATTATAAGTATTATTTAAACTTGTATACTGCTCTCCCCGCAGAGTGGGCTCAGAGTGGTGTTCAACAGTTGCATAAAAACAATCCATTAGTCTAACTATACAGATAAAATACAAGTCTTAAAATGACAGATGATATCTACAGAAGCATACAAGAAGCATAAAAGGAGCTGCGGTGGCTCAAGTGGTTAAGACACTGAACTGCAGGCTGTGGAAAGTCGGTAGTTCAGCAGTTCGAGACCCAAGTTGTCGCATGACGGAGTGAGCTCCTGTCTCTAGTTCCAGCTCCTGCCAACCTAG